TCATAATTGACAAAAAGCTTTTATGGCAATCTCTAGGGAAAATGCCATTTAACTTTTATTATTATTATATATATTTTATAAAAAGTTACTTATATTTAGGATTTGAATTCAAAATCGATAATGAAAGATAAAAAGAATTTTATTTATCCAATCGCATCTCATAATAGTAAATATCAGATATTAGGTCATATTTGATAAACCTTCAAAGAAAATGGCATTTAATTTTTTTATATATATATTTAATCATTCAAAATTCATTTGCTTGCATAATTTAAGGGGGAAATGTTTGTTAATTACCATAAAATTTCTCATTTTCAAAGCTTGAACTCAAGTGAGAAGCTATATCATCTCTTCGTCACTCAATATTTAATTAATACTATTCACCTTCGCGATAATTTTTTTTTTTTTTTTTTTTGTGGATAAAAGAAAGCAAGAACATTATTTTAAGGATATTGGGATGACATGTAAAATCACAAAAAAATATGATTCATTAATTAGTGGCACAAGTCATAAGTAGCCAAGTGGTGGAATAAAAGAGCACAATGAAAAAAGGCAAAAAATTATCGAGAAGGATTGTGGTGAAGTGATAAATATTTCTTCAGTCTTAATCAAAAGTCTAGAGTATGAGTCCCTCTGGATGGATACAGAGTCATCTTTATTAGGAAGTGTTTTACCTCTAATGTGAATTTAAATTTAGTTGAACTTTAATGTGAATTTCAAACCGGAAATCCAAAAAAGAAAGAAAAGAGGCAAAAAATTCATTAGGGGATCAAATCTTGAAATAATGTCATAACCATATCCATCCATAAAGAAAAGCCACCACTAATTCTTCTTTTTTATGTGAAAAAAGAATAAAAAAAGAAAAGAAACAAAGCTCCAATAACTGAAAAAAGAAAGAAAAAAGAAGACAATAATGTACTTGGAATTTCATAAACGTTATTGAGACATCATAGAAGACAATAACATGTGAGAATCTGAAACCTTTTCTGAAGTATAAAATCCCTATAAGATTTTGTTACCTCATTTTCCCTCTATATCTTAACACCATATTTAGTTCAAAAAATCCAACCTAAATCTAAAAGGTAGATTTTTGTGTATAAAGCATCTCGTATTTGATAGTATTAGAAAGAATGCGCTGGATTTTTTAAGAGGTTATCTATCCTAGTAATACTTTCATCCAAACATATTTAACTTTTAAATTCTGATGAAATTCAATGAGTTGTTTAGTATATAAATTAAATTAACAAGAAAGTAAAAGCTTGTAACATGTTGTCTAAGAGTTTTTATTTATGGTTTTTTCATTCTATGTCTCATATTTATTTATTCACGTTCATTAAAACGAAAATATTCATTACAAGGTTTTTTTTTAAATGAGCAAGATTCAAACCCGAAATTTTATTTCTTTTCCGCTTTGTATCTTGCTAGTCACACTTTTCTTGTAACCTTCTTTAGAAAATTTCTCTTTTAAATAGAACGTTTATTGAAAATAGTCTTTCAACCATACATTGATATGTGTACGTCCTATCTTTTTAGACCTCAATTATAAAATTACACTAAATACGTTATCACGATATCTAATTAGTATGAGGTTCAAGAACCAAGACAAAGAGGTTAAAAAAGGGAAAGAAAGTCAGAGAATTGAGAGAAAATGGAAAGAGATAGACAAGTCACAATCAAAACATTACAGAAAAAGACAGAATTACTGTAAAAGAACAACCCTATCTGTCTGCTTTTACAGTTTCATCTAGTCTCTATCAAAATTTCTGCACAATTCCTCCTTTTTTTACTCCTATACATTCTTTTTAATTTTATGTCAAACATAAATTACTATACTTTTTACACTTACCATAAAGATTACTTTTAGCACATGAATTAGACTTGATACATCATTGACTTATCGAAAATATGAACCTTAGATAAAACATTACGCAAGAAAATATATATCAAGGTAAAAAAGTTACTCCATTAGGTAATCGAGTCTTGAGTGTTGTTTTGCTAATCCTTCTTTATTTATAGTCGTAGTATTACTCTTATATTTTCTTGTTTCTTTGATTTTTGCTAGACTATTGTGTTTGAGAATATTTTGTCATGTCTTATTTAATGTTTTATCTTGATTTTCTTTACTCCTTGAATAAAGAATATATTAAAATAGACTTTTTATCTTTTGAAATAAAGATAAAATTTACGTATACTGAATATATTATTATTATTATTATTATTATTATTATTATTATAGTAAAATACCAAATATAATAGGACAAGCTAGATGAGAATTTAGATGGACACCCTCACATGTTAGCATTAAATAAAATAAGAGGACAAACCACAGATCTTTTGAGCCATCTTTTTCACAAGGGGTACGGTACGGGTTTTTTACAGCTTATAATAATGTAATTAATGTAGTGTCACTATTACTCCCTCCGTTCCTATTTACTTGTCCATATTTCCTTTTTTAGTTGTCCCTATTTAGTTGTCCATTTTGACAAATCAAGAAAGAACAACTAATTTTTTCCTATTATACCCTTATTTACACTTCTTGAAAATTGTAAAAGTGTATGTTGTTTCCCTCCAATTTATTTCACTTGAATTCAAATAAGTGGTTGTAATTTTGAAGTGAAAAGTTGTCATAAGGGTAAAATTGTAACTTCACTGTGTTAATCATTGTTGCCTTAATCTGTGTGTCATTTCTAAAGTGGACAACTAAAAAGGGACGGAGGGAGTATAATATTTACAATTCTTTTAACATATAGTTTCTCTTCTGACACTATATTAATTAAAAGGTACCTTGGTAAACTTTTTTCGAAAAAATTCTATATTCATTGACTTTCTTTTGATCATATCTTTATCATTTTCTTTTTGGGGTTTTGGGGCGTGGGGGTTGGTTAAAATATTGGTGACAAGATATCTAGTTAAGTTTGAAGAAATCTTAACCGTTTATTTATAATATTTTATTGGCGAAAAGTAACAAGTATATGTGAGGTTTGTGTACGCTATGTAAGACGAAGGAACACGCTATTTTCAATCAATTTTTTTTTTTCATTTTCAGAACTCAAATTTGAAATACGTAGTTAAGTTTGAAGAAATTCTATCCATTTCAGTATTATTTTAATGTCAGCAAAGAGTATTAAATATCTGATAAAATAATTAAGATTCACGTAAGCCGACACAAATAAAATTATTACTATATATTTTATTTTATTTTTAAAAAGGTAATTTGTGTAGTCTATATTTGATGTATCTTTTCAAATGGGGCAGCCAACATGCCGCTCCTTACTATATCTGACCACCCATCACATGTCTTGTTTCTTTGTGACTATTTTTGATAATATTCTTCTTACTTTTACTCCCAAAGTCACTTTCTATATATTTTTATCACCAAAATATACTGATTTTATACAAGGTTTACAGCAAGTTAAATAGTAGAAGATTTTTCTACTAATTAATTTGACCTTTCACCAATATATTGTCACTTAACTTTGGTTTCGTGTAATATTAGAATTCAAATGTAAGTACAATATATATCACAATCGACAAGGTAGGGACACGTGTCTTTCATATCTTTTTCTTAAAGTAGATGACAAATCATAAATTAGTAACTCTTTTCGTTTTTATGTTGATTTTTTTTTTGGGTGCAGAATTCACTGATCTAACTAATTTAAATTTAAATAGTAAAAAGTCCACTATGAGCGGCTTTAGTACTTTCATATTTAAGATTCGAACTCAGACCTTACATTGTTTGGAACTTAAAATAGCATTTTCAAGGTATAATGTAAGCATATCTTACATTTATCTTTATGAGCTAAAATGACTAAAACCTCGACTCAATACAAAAGAAGTGTCTTTGAAGTAAGATTTCAAGAAAAGTTCTAGAAAGATGGACAAGCATGAAATTACATCTTTGAGAAAATCAAATGTATAAGTTTTCTTTTTGTAGAAAAAGGGGAAATGGGGAGGGGATAACAAGGTGAGGAATCGTACCCTCACCAACGAGGTGAGTTCAGGTAACTAACTAATTGAACTACTAATATCCCCCAACCAAATGTATGAGGTGAACTTGAAATAAATAAATAAAATGATTTTACTCCAATTGAGACTACTTTTTGCCTCATGCACTCCTATATACCAATTTTGTGCCTACATATTTGTAATGTTGTTAGTTTGTTACTCATATATAGCTGGCTAAACTTAAAAATATGACAAACTCTTATGTAGTAGATAGAGAGGACCACTTCACCTTTTTGTATACATCTAACTACAATATGTACATATTCCTTTTGCTTTGTGTTAACCAGAGAAACAAGTTAAAAGAATTTTGAATTCTTTCTCCATACTTGGTATATAAGAATAAGAAATTTGAAAGATGAAGGTGACATTTCATTTTGTGGTCCAATTCATAGGATCTTGTAAAATCCCTTTCTTCTTCTGTAATTTAATATAATGTTAACCAAGTTTGTTCTTAATCTTGTTTTACATGCTAACTTTTTCACCTTACCATGTGTAGCTGGATAAAGTTTCCCCTCTTTTTTCTGCCTAGAAAGCAAAAACTAACAAACTATATTGACCAAATTTGGTCCATTAGCCAAACAGCCAACAATTTTACCTTGGTTAACCAACTCTGAACAAATAGTCATTTGTTCAATCCTTATAGTTGGAAATTAACCACTATCATCGAGTCTCAAGTTCCACAAAGTAACTCTTTAAGACATTAAACGACGATGTCCGCGAATGGTTAACATGCCATAGTTAAGGCTTTCAACTAATTAGTTGAGAAGCAGACCAGGCCCAAAACAAGGCCTGAAAAATGGCACTAGGAAAGTTTTTGGACTGGTACATATCCATAAAATCCTGTGACAAGTTATTAAAAAAAATAGCAATGAGCGAAAAAAGAGACGGTCTTTCATATGTCAACAAAAACATATCTGAATTTCACCAAATGATAAATCGTTAACGAGTCAAAAACTAAAGGGAAAAATACCAGAAAACAAAAAACACCAATATCTTAAAAATTGTGCACCATGCCTATGTTTATTTACTACTATAGCATAAAGGTCCGATGATATTCATGAGAGTAGAACCAAATGTGTTCAACCCATTGCGTATTTCTGGGTCCATGATCTGGCAGTACTCTCATACTTCGCTCTATCCGTCTTGTACATGTGAGCAATCTCTGGCACTAAAGGATCATCTGGATTGGGATCAGTAAGCAAAGAGCAAATGGAAAGCAGCACCTGCAATTTCCCAGCATAATTGTCACCAAAATGTATACATAAAGCAGATGCTTTAGAGGTGAGCATAAGATACTTTACCTTGGATACAGTAAGAGCAGGGCTCCATTGTTCCTTTAGGATATCAAGACAAATACTACCATTACTGTTGATGTTTGGGTGGAAAACCTTGGTTTTGAAAGAGACCTACAGAATTCAGAGTCAAAACAAAGTAACATTGAAAATCCAATCACTGAAAGCAGGGTTTTGCAACAAATTAAGAATTGAGAAATACAAGGGAGCTGGCTTTATTTAAGCAAGGACTACAGAAAACACATCAAAGGCAGATAAAAGAACGGCCAACATCCATTCTTAGGTCCATCAAAACAAAAAATTGAACGCCAATGGTTGTCTAGAGCCAACATCCATCCTGGTAGATGCAGGATTTTGCGTCTTCTGAACAACCCTAGGTTGCTTGAAGAACTCCATTTCTGTGTTACTTGGTTTATTAATATTTTTTACCATCGCAGCAAATATTGGAACATTAAGTTTTATCAGACCTAATATACAACAACAACAACAACAAAAAAATAAAATAAAAAATCAAGTGTAATCCAACTTGTGGAGTTTGGGAGGGTGATGTGCGCGCAGCCTTACCCCTACCTTGTGGAGGTAGATAGATTATCTCCGATAAGACGTCGGCTCAGGTAAAACATATCAAATAACAAATATGTAAAACAAATACATTGAAGTTCAGGTTTAATCTACTGGGAACTCTTGCAGTAAATAATTCTAATCCATGGCGAGACAGAATTGCTAAAGGTAAGGAATGCTGGAAATAGGAGCAAGAGAAATTTTACAAAACACACACAAAATACTTGGCAAGACTTCAAAACTACCTTTGGGGGTTTGAATGGATAATCTGGGGGGAAATGGATAGACACAAGGAAAACACCCCCAGAAAACGGACTGTCAGATGGACCCATTATGGTAGCTTGCCAATGGAACATATCCTCACCAACAGGACCTGCAAGAAGCAAAGCACTTTTTCAGTCCAAAACAACATCCAAATTAAAAGTACACAATTTTCACAAATTCCAGCACAAGTGCAGACATGTCTAACAAAATATTAACAGAACCAAAAGAATTGTCACCTGTTACTCTGTCAATCCTACCCCAACCCGCAGCCAACATAAGGGGGAAAAGGGAAACAAAGAGGACGACCAAATGAACAGTAAGTAATGACTACCCATCGGATGGTAAGGGGAAAGAAATCATCAGATTATTCCCAGCACATATCTGATGTGTCTTAAATATATTCCAACACAAATTCAAGCTGCAGACATGGGAGAAAAGACAAGTTCTCAAGGAACAGCAAGCCTAGAGGGGATATCTATAACATGGTAATAAAGAGACATTAAGCAGCACAAGTCACACTCATATATACCTGCACTGCAAGAAGCAGGGGGGTCTTTCTGCAAGTCCTTCAATTCCTTCTGAATCCTCTTTGAAGCCATAACGAATTTGAGAGACTTATCACTACAAAAAGAAATCCAAATCAATACTGCCAAAGGAAGGCCAAATAATCAAGAATTAGAATTTTTTTTAGTAAATTACGATGACACTTCAAAAATAATTTAATAGAAGTTGTAATGGTATGCACTTTTTTTAGGTAAAAGTGTTGTATTGAGGAAAGCAACCCCGGTGCTGCTCCTGTAAGTGCAGAGGAGCAGGAAAGAACTATTACATTATATTGGTTAAACTCGGGAAAGAGAACAGACAATGAAATTCCAAACCAATGTAAAACACTCTCCCCCTTCCTAAAGAAAGGATTTTTACCATAATCAATGGCCTCAAAATATACAAAACATTAATAACAACGGAAACCATCACATCCTAGTCTCTATCTAAGAGATAATGATCAGAATTTTGACTTGGAACAAGAAATCAAATAAATTACTATAACCATTAGTACCAACAACAAGGACAACCATTACATCCCAGTTTTATCACACAGATAATGATCAGAGACATTCGCCTAGGACTTCCCCACAACCTCTTCCTCCCAAAATTTCTAGACACAGTTTCAAAAATACGAAAAAGCAAATACACAAAGAAGCCAAAGGAATTCAACATTTACTATATATACATAAAAAATAATTTTAACCTCCCACATAAACGAAAAGGGGTTCGGATGAACCCCTTAACCCTGCCTAACTCCACCCCTGCAGTAACGCATACCAACCCAAAACAAGAATCCAATTTTTTTGCAGGACTCCACAAACAAACAAAAAATAAACAAAAAAAATAGTCCCTTTTTCCTGTTTTTGTGTTGAAGAAAGTGAAACCTTAAAAAATCAACCTTTTTTGAATTAAAAAATGATTCAGCACATCAATTCCTCAAAAAACAATCAACTTACTAGTACTACTACATACATATCTATACAAAACTAAACAGAATCAGCTTTATAAATTCTCTTCTCATCAAGTTGACATTAAAACAGAAACAGAGAACATCCACTACTTTTTTCACATGAAAAAAAATCGGCAAACCACCATATAAATCCAGAAAAATTACAGCAAAAGCATAAACAGAACAAACAAACATCAAATTATAACAACATCATATAACTAATGATCGATTTGCAAAAAAATAAAAAAGAGAAATCGGTAGGGTTAAAAAATCCTTAAGGGTTACGAACCTTTTTTTGAGAGAACAGAGTTTTGGTTGGAGGCTGCAAAATATGAATTTTACGTCTGAATGAATATATATAGGGAATTTTGACTCACAAATATTATTATTATTATTAAGTTTAAGGTAGAAAAAAGGTTTTTCTTTATAAAAATAATAATAATAATTATATTTGGAAAAGGAAGGGTCTCCTTTAGGCGGTGGACACCTCATGCCATGCACGTGTTAATACCATGCTTTTGCCTCTTTATTTATTTGTTTTTTCTAATTTTCCATATTGGATTAAAATTATGACTTTGGTCCTTTGTAAATTGTAATATTGGCATTATTTTGTAGTTTTTCATTTATTTAATTGTTTCGATTATTGTATTATTTCATTTATTATTATTGTTTGTTCTCATATTTGTTGTGTAATGTTTTCTACATTGCATTTTTTGTGTTTTATTTGCGTTAATATGTATATCTTTTTTCAAATTATTTGGCATGCTTTATTTAAGTTGGGAGGTCTATCAAAAATTTGTGTAAATTTCATCTCTTCATACTCTACTTGAGAAATTATCTTGAGTATATTGTTAGTAATCCGTTGATCAAAAAGGTAATCTTATGCGTGTTGTTTGTTTTTTTAATGTACGTTAGCATTTATTGTCTATTGGATTTTCTTATTAATTGATGTGGTTCTTTTGATAAAATCTTTCTACGCTCACGAGATAAAGGTAAAATTTGTGTAGGTCTATCCTTTTAACACCCCCACTATATTTTGTGAAAATAATTTAAATGCAATATAGTGTAAATAAAAGAACCAAAATTGCATTTTAATAAATTAAGCTTAGTGGGAAATTAGACACCCTGTAAAGAACAAAAGACAATCAAAATTAAAAACTTAAAGAACTTATTCCTTTTCCCACTCTTTTAACTTTCTGTGACTGACAGTTCCATATTCAATCTGTCCATCTTCATCTTTTACCCTTCCATTGCTGAGGGAAAAGAGAAAAGAAAGGAACTTTAGGGAGCTTTGACATGTTTTTGTCAAAAGTCTCACTTTTGGAGGAATAAAATAACTTGAGCTAGTTAAAGAAGCTTACTCCAAATACAGCCAAAAAGGTATACCAACCGAAACTAAGCTTAAACCATAATTAAATGGTGTCAAGTGCTTTGATGTTCACAACATTAATAAAAATGCTCTCCTAAAATATTACATAATGTTCCAAAGGAGAGCAGAAAAGGCACCAACTGCAGAAAAACTGTAAACAATAGATCTTCACCTCACCTTCTCTTTTTTTTTTTTCTTTTTTTTTTTTATCAGTACAGACACGCCTCGCTAGCATTACAGGCATTCCCACACCTTCAAATCACAAACTAGAAAATAATGGAATAATACAATGATTGGTAAGACAGCGCTCTGGCGACATCAAGCAAACCTCTAAGCGGTCCACAACTATGGCTTACTGTTACTAAATCTTCCCTGACCGGAACATAAACACACTTCATATCATTATAGAGACAAGTTAGAACTGGCACAGAACAGCACCAGTGCCCCGATGGCAGTGCGAGGCATCTGACGTTATAGCAACATCTGTTGCATATAGGACCTGCTGGTTGGTTAGTGGTGTGTATCAATGCACAAGCTCCAAATCCCACTAGACAAAGATCACACTCTGGTTTTAGCCCTCTTCATCCCAAGACTGTTGTGGAAGGGGGAAACAGAACCAGACATTTGAGAATCTTCTTCACGAAGAGTACCATTGAGCATTGCAAGCTCACGCAACTGCTGTTTTTTGTAGAAATCCTGCGACTCATCCTGCATTTGGAGGGCGATGGAGAAATAATAATGAACATCTCTCAACTTTGAAAATGTGTGATAGTAGACAAAAAGTGACAACTTGCAATCTATGTTGAATTTACCATAGGCCTGAGTAGATCTTCCAATATCTCACGTGCTTGCAATAGCCGGGCATCAATGATCTCCACTGGCAGTTCAGCTTCCACAATAACATGAAGAGGCTCATTCAGGTGCTCATACCCTGGTTTGCCTCTCATCATTTCTTCCTTCAAAATGACAAAGTAAATTCTTATGTTAAATGTTGAGAAAGATGATTCCAGATGGAAAAATAGTACAAATTACCACCTCAGACTATCCAATGCCACTAACAAGAGTTACTGAAAATTCTAATGAATGGAATCAAAACTTGACCTCCACCAAAAAAACTTTTGATACATTAACTTCGTACCAACCTATGGAGGTAAGGGCCAACCTTAATATCACAGATGAATCAACTAAACAAGCCAGAAGAAGGGAAACTTATCTAAATTTAATAAGAACTTCAACAACATCAACCAATAGGAACAGACTGGAATAGAGACCTATATAAGAAATAAGAACATACTAGAAGGAGGTTCAAGCTATTAATTAATGGCCAAAAAAGTGAACAGGTGGCTTCATTTATCACCACAGCTACCGCTGGCACATAAAATCAACTGGGAATGGATCTTTGGGGTGGGGGTTATAGAAGTGGGGAGAAGTTGTCTCTCATGATTATTTCATGGCCTCTCAAATATTACATCAGTTCATAATATTACCTTAACTGGATCTTTGATGCTTCCGCGTCCTCTTATCAGAACCCGGCATTCAGTAGTAGCTTCCACTCGCTTTAGAGAGTTCCCTCTAGGGCCCAGGAGTCGGCCCACGAAATTGTACTGCAAAGGTAACTAAAACACACATTCAACATGATGTAGCCAAATCATGATAAACAGAATGAGAAAATAGATAATAGTACATACACTAGGATATTGATCCACCGGTATATCAATTCTGAGTGTTCGCTTCACTATGAGGCCTGATGAGTTACTTTGAGTATTAAGCCAGTTTTGAGTCGATGGGGAGTGCATTAAACCTGATATCTGGATATGATAACCACAAAATCGGTTAAACAGAGAAATCCACACCTTGTGCCCTCTCTTTTGTACTACACTAAAGATAAACCTGGAAGCCTCCTTTTTGTGAGATAACTAACCCTGAACCTCCTTATGATTCAGAACATTTAAGACATTCCAAATCCACGACTACAAGAGGAATAAGAAAACACACAGTAGATCTACACAAGTTGAAACAAAATAAAGACAATAATCTACTAATCACAAATGCAACATTAACAGAGATAAGATAGACATATACTACAAGAGGAATAAGAAAGCACACCCTTAAAAACATAACAGATCTTGATGACTCAAATAAATTTGGAAACAACGAGCTTATGATTTTCAATTTCCAGTGTTTCAGAATGGATCAAAGCATCCCATAAGTGTTAGCAGAATTGAAAGTAAGGATATGCTCCTGTGGAGTCATAGACATCTAGATCTCATCGTAAAATAGTCTCATGGACATCTAGATCGCATCCCATGTGTTAGCAGAATTCTGTGGAACAAGCCCCTCACATTCTACTGAGATAATTATTTGAATCAACATAGAAGGAGATGCTTGTGTGGTATCATAGACATCTAGATCTCATTGGAAAACTTAGCTGGCTGTCAATACTCCTAGTAACTAAAAGCAAAATTCTAAATCAGATGCTCAGCTTAAACTATTTATCAATCTTGTTGTTGTTAGCTTCACCTATCTGTCACGAGACAAGTGGAGATTCAAGTTAAAACACTTAAAAAAGAAATCAAGTTAGCATGGAAATTAGAAACCTTTGTCAGAAAAGCTTTTCAAACATAAAAAATTAGATCTAAAAGAGGTTATGTTAATAGTTAGTATCCATACTTCTGATTGAAATGGTGATGCCCATCTGTCCACATTAGCTCCTCCATTTGAAAACATTCCTCCTGAAGCCAGGGGGCTAGCATGTTCAAGCCCATTTTGATCTAAAACTGATGCATTCCCCAACAGTGTAGTTACACGC